CTCACCGACGTCTCCCTGGCACTGAGCGAGCTGCGGCCCAACGACTCGGGCATCTACCGCTGCGAGGTCCAGCATGGCATCGATGATAGCAGTGATGCTGTGGAGGTCAAGGTCAAAGGTGAGAGGGCACAGAAGCAGAGAGGAAGGGGAGAACTCCACCGTCCGGGATCGGGGGGGGGGGGGTCAATGCACGTGGAAGGGGCCAGGTGGGCAAAGAGGGAGGAGACACAGACCTTGGTTCCTTTTTCTCCCTTCAGGTGGAGGAAATTCTACCCATAGTCTAACTTAAGTCCCACATGCTGTAGAACAAGCACAATTGGGAATTTACCCGTGTGTGTGTGTGTGTGTGTGTGTGTGTGTGTGACAAGGAGGGTGAGGGGAGGCCCAGGCTCAGGAGCCCTCTCTACCCCCTCAGGGGTCGTCTTTCTCTACCGAGAGGGCTCTGCCCGCTACGCTTTCTCCTTTGCCGTGGCGCAAGAGGCCTGTGCCCGCATCGGAGCCGCAATTGCAACCCCGGAGCAGCTGTATGCCGCCTACCTTGGGGGTTATGAGCAGTGTGATGCCGGCTGGCTGGCCGACCAGACCGTGAGGTGGGCTGGGGGCTGGGGCTGGGGCTGGGCTCGGGGGCTTGCAGTCAGCAGTCATGGGGCTGTGGCCCCCGGGTGGGGGGAGGGGCTGCCTGCTGCCTCAGCCTGGGCACGCAGGGCTCCTTGCTCTGCAGAAGGTGGCGAGGACTCTGCCCTAGGGGTGTGCGTCCCAGCAGAGCTGGGGGGGGGGGCAGCCGGTCTGGCCACTCTGGGCTCCACTGAGAGAGCAGTGGGATTTACTGCGGTCCACAAGGGACAGCTCTCCGGCACCCGTCCTCTCTCCCCAGGTACCCCATCCAGACCCCACGGGAGGCCTGTTATGGAGACATGGATGGCTTCCCTGGGGTCCGGAACTACGGAGTGGTGGACCCGGATGACCTCTACGATGTCTACTGTTACGCTGAGGACCTAAATGGTGAGTGGGGCTGAGCGGTAACCAGGGAACCAGCCCCTTCTCTGTAGGTCCTCTAGGAGCCTCGGGTGGACTTTCTTGTCCCTCATGCGCTTAGGGGGCAGGCGGGGTGAAGAGACGATCGGTGTCCCTCCCTCCGGGCACTGTGTTGAGCCAGCCCATGCCCAAAGCCACCAGTGGGCGGCAGGTACCGAGCCAGGGTCCCGCCCTCCGGACCTGCTCTGCACTAATGCCAGGCTCTGCAGAATGAGGCACTGGGCTCTGCTCCTCCATCCTAAGGTTCTATCTGGACTCGGATCCCACGATGTAGGGTATTTGACCCTTTGTCACAGACGAGAAGCTTGCCAGAGTCCCTGTTGGGGGCCCAGGGTGGAAGGGGCCACCAACTGCCTGATAACCCAGCCTCGTCTTCCCCACCCAGGAGAACTGTTCCTAGGTGCCCCTCCAGGCAAGCTGACGTGGGAGGAGGCACGGGAGTACTGCCGGGAGCGGGGTGCGGAGATTGCCACCACGGGCCAGCTCTACGCAGCCTGGGACGGTGGCCTGGACCGCTGCAGCCCAGGCTGGCTGGCCGACGGCAGCGTGCGCTACCCCATTGTCACACCCAGCCAGCGCTGTGGTGGGGGCCTGCCTGGTGTCAAGACTCTCTTCCTCTTCCCCAATCAGACCGGCTTCCCCAACAAGCACAGCCGCTTCAACGTCTACTGCTTCCGAGGTGAGCCCAGCTCCCTGCAGAGGCTGAGACCAGCCTCAGGCAGGCAGGCTGCACCCCGAAAGTCCTACCCCAGCTTGCACCGGTCCCTCTTGTACCACTTGCCTGCAGAAGTCTTGGGTGGTGCCCAGCTTGTTAAGATTCTGGGCATGGCCTAGCTTGGTCCCACTCAGTTGGGTGACCTCAAGGAGGGGTCATCTCTCTGTGTCTCCTTTCTTGCTTCCCCACCAGTTGTCCATGCCTTTCCCTCCCAGTTGCAAAGCTGCCCCTCCATGATGGGCTGCCGAATACCTTCCTGTTTCCTGTCAGCCTATTGTCAGAGCAGAAATGGCCAAGACGTTCTGAGTCCAATGAATTATCTGCTTAAGTTCTTCCAGTTGACCAGATCCCCTCACAGGAGCCCTTGGAGGGTTTGCAGAACCTGTGGCTTAGAGAAGGTGTCAGACCTCTCACCACCACATACAGATGGATACACACAGTGCCCCCACTCCACCACACATACACACAAAGATCAGGACATCAAGGACAGTTGGGTATAGACACAGCTTCTGCCTGCATCGTCTACTGGGAGCTGCAGGGGAAGTAGTGCCTGGAGCCCCAAAGGCATAGGCCCCAAGCTAAGGGTGGCTGACAGTTACAGAGGCATCACCATGGGTTGTCTGGGTCCCTGTTCAGCACAAGGGTTGTGGGCAGAAAAGAGAGAAGCCATAGACTTTACTCTCGGGTAACCATGGCGCTCCCTGAAGAGGGAAGACATAGTTTCTGGCATGGGAGCCCCCAGTATGAGGGAAGAGGAGCAACCTCACTCCCAGGATGAGGAGAGACTGAGAGAGCAGCCGCCCGCACAGATCTATGGGCATCTTTGGCCTGAGAATTGAGGATGTGAAGTCCATAGGGACATAGGGGTCCATCTGGAAAGGGATAGCAACAACAGCTAACAACAACAATAACAGCTAAAGCTTCTACTCGTTGGTTATGATTATGTGCTGAGCCCCGTTCTGGGAAGCAGGAAGTGGATCAGGAGAAGGTAGGAGGAGGGGGGAGCATGGCTACAGTTGAGAGCAGATGGAGGCAGCAAGAGCACAGGTTTGCTTGCCTGGTGTGGAGCAAGGCTCACTGGAGCAGGAGAGGAGCGCGGGGACGCACTGTCCGGTCTTGCCTGGCTGAGCACACTCTGTCCTCAGGGTTTTTCCTAACCCACTTCCAGTGTTGCTTTGTTGGTTTTCTGTTCTTGGTTCCTTTTCCCAGAGTACATGATAATCCATTCCAAACCCCGGATTATTTAAAGGGAGCAGATTCCAGATGAGGTGGCCCCTTCCCTTGGCTCTTGTCCCAACACTAAGATCCTCAGGTGGTGACTGCTGGATGCTCTTCCTCACTCAACCCTTCCACAATCCTGTGGGGATGGAGCCTGTTCTCTTCCCTTTTGAGAATTGTGGGATTATTGGGATCCCTTGCACCTTGCCCCAAGTTCAAGGGTGCTGAGGCCCTTCCACCCCCCTGTTTGCCTCTGTCCCTTACTCCAGGGAACATCTCTCACTGGAGCCTTTCATGACTACTCTAAACTAGTACTCCCCATCATCCTGACTCTGCTTAATTGCTCTTTATATTGTAGCATTCCTTGTTTGTTTAGTGTCCATATCTAGAATATAAGCTCCCTCGAGAGCAGGAGCTTGATGCTTGTTCTACATTATGTCCTCAGTGTCTGAGAAAGCTTAGCCCCCTGACTAATGCTTGAGAAGTGAGTGACAGAGTTCCGAGGTGCTCCCTGGGCCCCCGTGAGTGCTCCACAGGGGATATGGGTGAGAACTGAAAGAATCCTATGGTCTTTGTCCATCTAACCCAGAGCCCTTGTGGGCAGGCCCTGGTCTGGGAGGGCAGAGCCACCTGTTCTGCTTCCCATCAACACTTTACTCCTACCACAGACTCTGTCCAGCCCTCTGCCGTCCCTGAGACCTCCAACCCAGCCTCCGATCTGGCCTCTGATGGACTGGAGGCCATTGTCACGGTGACAGAGACCCTGGAGGAACTGCAGCTGCCCCAGGAAGCTGTGGAGAGTGAGTCCCGTGGGGCCATCTACTCCATTCCCATCCTGGAGGATGGGGCAGGTGGAAGCTCGACTCCAGAAGACCCAGCAGAGGCCCCTAGGACCCTCCTAGGTAACTCAAATCCCTTGTGCTGGGAACGTCTCTGCCTGGGAGATGTTGGGGGCAGAGGGGGCAAACCCAGGTTAATGCTGGTCCCATAGCTACCAAGATTCTTCCCTGTCCTTTATCAACAGCTACGTGGTGCAGGGCATAGCTCCTATCCCTTTCCAACTTTTGCCTTTCCAGTAAATTCCACACCCACCTCCCTGGGACTGGAGATGCTTGGACTAAGGAGTTGCCTCTGGGAAAGAGAGGCCTCCCTTCTTTGCCCCCTACCCGCCCCACCTTGCTTTTCCCTAACAGACTAGCGACTGGAGAAGGGGATGCGACAACCAAGCTTTCCCGGGCTCATGCCCGCTCATAGAGCCTTCTCAAGTGTTGTCTCAACAATGCAGTTCAAATTGAAGTTCTTCCAGTGTGGAACAAAGATCATCTCTTCCCTCTCCCCCACTACCTCCCCCCTCCAGTGCCCCCTTGCTCCCCTTCCCCGTCCCTCCTCCCAACCTCTGCTGGGTGCTGTCCCTGGTGCTGAACTTTTTGTGTTTTACCCAGAATTCGAAACCCAATCCATTGTAACACCTGAGGAGTCCTCAGAGGAAGAGGACAAGGCATGGGAGAAAGAAGAGAAATACAAGGCTGAAAAAGAGGAGGAGGAAGAAGAAAAGGAGGAGGAGGTGGTGGAGGATGAGGACCTGTGGGCATGGCCCAGCGAGCTTAGTGGTCCGGGTCCTGAGGCTACTCTCCCCACTGAGCCAGTCTTGGAGGAGTTGCCCTCCCAGGAAACCCTGCCAGCAAGAACAACCCTGCAGCCTGGTGCATCATCTCTTCCTGATGGAGAATTGGAAGCTCCCAGGCCTCCCAGGGTCCGTGGACCACCTCCGGAGACTCTGCCCACTGCTAGGGAGGGGAAACTGCCATCCCCGCCCCCTTCCACTCCTCTTGGGGCAAGAGAAGTTGGGGAGGAAACTGGGGGTCCTGAGCTATCTGGGGTCTCTCGAGGAGAGAGTGAAGAGACAGGGAGCTCCGAGGATGCCCCTTCCTTGCTTCCAGCCACAAGGGCCCCTGAGGGTACCAGGGAGCTGGAGGTTCCCTCTGAAGAGAATTCTGGAAGAACTGACCCAGCAGGGACCTCAGTGCAGGCCCAGCCAGTGCTGCCCACTGACAGCGCCAGCCGAGGTGGAGTGGCCGTGGCCCCCTCTTCAGGTAACTCTGCCCAAGGCTCAACCTCCCTCTTTATCCTCTTTTTATTCCTCCCGCTGTGGCTCTGGGTCCCCTGACCTGTGGTCCTTTAGGCCCCATCTCCCTGGACTTGCCTGTCCTTCGCCTTCATTCTCATGCCCCCTCCACCTGTGACCTCCACCCCGGCACTCTGCTCACCCTGTGACCCCAGCCCCACCACTCACCGCCTGTGCCCCTTTCCTGCCCTCAGGCCCTCTGCCTGTGGCTCACATGTCACCCACCCCACAGAGCAGCCCAGGCCTCTTCAGGGCGCACCTGTCGCCTCTGCAGTCTTCAAGGTGAGGCCCATCTTCCACTGCTCCCTTCCCCGTCCTATGTGCCATCTCCTGCAGCCACTCCCCACTGGTCTCAGGGAAAGCCTGGGAGTCCACCCCCGCTCCTCCACCTCTGGGGTCCAAGAGACCTTGTACCCCACAGAGCCTTAAGAGACTACTTCTGTGAAGTATTTTTGACTGTTTCATGGAAAACAAGCCTTGGAAATAAACCTCTATTAAACCGCTTTGTAACCAAACGCTGGCACCCTCTGTCGCCCTCTCCAGCTGTCTGCCTTTCTCCTGCCACTGATCCGTGCCCTGGTGACTCCTTGGTGCTTCTCTTTGACTCCTTGTCTCTCCTTCTTGCCTGTGTCTCTGCCTCCCTGTGTCTCTTGGCCTTTCTTCTTTTCTGTCTTCAGTCTGCGCCCTCTCCTGTGCTCGCGGTCTAACAGTCCCTTGCTGTCCCCTCCTCCTCCCCCTCTCAGGCCAGGTGACAGCGTCCCTCCTGACTGATGAGACCCCACATCTGACTGCATGCATTACCCCAGGGAAGCCAGGGTCTGCCAGTCTGCAGGGGTGCTGAGAATTGTAGTCCCCAACCCCTGACCGGGACAAACCCACACATTTATATTCATTTCTGAGCCATCTGGGTGGCTCATAGAGCAGTACCTAAAAGTACCCCCCTGCATAGGGCCAGTTCCCTGGCACCCAGGGGCCCTAACCACTCACCCACCCACCTACCTCAGCAGGGGACGATATTTAACTCACCTCCACTAACCCTTTTGCACTCATGACAACTCCTTATCCCCGGGAGGAATGGTTCCCTGCACCCCAAACCCAAAGGATTGCAAAGACCCTGAGTCTGGAGAAGATACAAGTCAGGGTGATGGATGCAAGTGTGTGTGGGGGGATGGGGAGTTAGGGTCTGGGGTCTTCTGAGGGGAGCCCTACCTATTCCTGGAAGGTTAAGCTTCACCATGGAGACCTCTGGCGAAAGCTGGATTCCTCCCAGGCCCCAGCGCCACCCTCTCCTAGATGGCCTAGTGCAGGTTAGGGGCCTGTGCATCACACTCAGGCTCGCCCATTTCAGGGCTGGAGCTCAGCGCTGTGTAGGGTGAGGAGGGCAGTAGGGGAGAGGAGATCCACTGGAGGTGTTGCAGTGTCTTAGCCACCCTCCTGCACGGTGAGCGAGAGGTCCCTGGCCTGCTGCTTCCACAGAGGGAAAACAAGGTTTCTGGTTGTGCAGAACCGACAGGAGGAGGGAGGGAGGCAAGAAAGTGGTGAGAAGAGGTCCCGCACCCTGCTCTGCCTACCCTGGGTTCAGACTCTGCCAGCCCCCAGCCACGCGGAGGGACAAGTGGCCTGGGTAGGACCAAGGGCTGAGTTTGACAGTTGGACAGGAAGGAGCAGACAGGACAACGGGCAGGGCAGGGCAGGACAGTTCGAGGAATGGGAGGGCAGTCAGGTCTGTCACCTTCTGTTGGGCCTGGCACTTAATAGGTTAAATAAATCACCCTCCCCCTCTGGGGTGAGGGGCGTTAGAGGCTGGGGGGCAGCCCTACCAGCTGGGAAGAAACCATTGGCAGGGGAGATGGCAGGGACAGTGGGACTGGAAAAGCTGATTCATCTACCCAAACCATCTAGGTCATTCCAGCACAATTCCTTGAATCAAGTCCAGCGTCCCCTCCCCCAGCCCTGCACTGATCCCGGCCAGGCCAGCGTGGAGCACTGTGGGCCTTGGCCCTGGCTGCTGGGGGTGGATGGTGAGCTCTGGGGGGTCCTGACCTGAGCGACGTTCTGTGGCGCCATCTTCCCCTGAGCCTGGTGGACCAGAAAGGAGTGGAAACTGACAGCTCCTCCCACACGCAGGCGTGGCCTAAGGGCCACCTCCTCCCACCTCAGGATCCAGAGAAAGGTGGATGGCCTAGCCAGCTGGAACTGGACCCAGACAACAGATTGCAGGCCCTCAGGGTAGTCTAAGAGGACTGCCTGGAGGAGAGGGAGGCTGAGGATGAGCTGCATGTGGCTGGGGAAGGCCTGGGTCGGGGTGGGGGGGCGGGGAGCAGAGCCCGGTAGTGGGGAAGAGTCTGAGTTTAGTAAGGGGATGCAGAGGGGCTGGGTGCTGCTAAGAGGAAGCTGAGGGGTGGGGCCAGCCAGCCAGCACCTCAGGACAGCTGACCCTGCTGCAGCTTCCTCCCTGGGCTGGGGGGAACCGGACAGGCACTGGATGAGCACGGTGGGCTCCCTAGCAACAGCCGCATCTGGCTGCCCCGGCCCAGGGGACAGCTGCAGGCAGGCTTGCCCTCACCTGGACCACACGGCTGATCAGCTCCCAGGAGCAGTGAGGGGAGGCCAGAGACCCCTGCTGCTCGGGGTGGTGCTGTCCCCTCCTCCAGGTCCACCCCGCTGTTCCCCAGAGCTGTGCTGGTGTCTGTCACAAGACAAGGGCTGTGAAAGGAAACTTGGCCTGGGAGCCAGGGACGGGTGGGGGCGGGGTGGGGCACCGCTCAGTGTCACCCAGGAGAGGGAGGAGCCAGCTAAGAGTCCTGAGCAGCCCAGGATCTTTCCCAGGGGCCTCCCTGGCCATCTCCCCCAGTCCCTTGTTGCACAGTGGCCTTCACAGAGCTGAGCCGATACTGAAGGCAGGGTTCACAGAGCAACGCAGACCTCAGGGCTAGGCTGTGACCAGAGGCAGGCTCTGCAGAGACCCTTCTGAGAGCCATGATGGCTTCCGTGCGGGGAGGTCAGGGCTGGGGATGCACACTGCCCTGCTGCCCCCACCTCACTTCTTCCCTCCCCCAGGTGACTGTGTCCCCAGCCCCTGCCACAATGGTGGGACATGCTTGGAGGAGGAGGAGGGGGCCCGCTGCCTGTGTTTGCCTGGCTATGGGGGGGACCTGTGCGATGTTGGTGAGTGTGCTGGGGGGAGGGGTCTGAGGCCTAGGCTCCTCCTCCACGTGTCAGTTCTGGAAGGGGAGGGAGGACTCCGGTTGGGGGGTGGGGGGCCCTGTTGTTAGGGAATCGCTGTTCCAGGCCATTCTGTTCTTCCCCTGAGTTCTTCCCTCGACTTCCTCTCGTTAAGCGCCGCGGAAATGCTGTGAGGGGTCCGGGTGAGACGGGAGCTGAGCGCGCTCCGGGCCTGGGTGGGCGGCCGGCACGTGCCAGGGAGGACAGAAGGGCGTCCTTTAGGGTAGAGGAGCCTAGGGACCAGAAAGGAGCTCCAGCCCTCATCCAGGTCCCAAGGGCTCTGAGACGGCACCAAGCCCCTCCCCTCGGGCCCCTCCAGGGGTCCGCAGGCTGCTCGGCTCCGCCCTCCTGCTCCGGAGCCCCGCCCCTCCCGGTCTGCGGCCGTGCGAGGAATGCAGTCCCTCCCGGGAGACCTGGCCCCTGCGGGTTCCCGGGTCCTCTGGCCTGAGGTGCCCGCCCTTCTGTGCCCCAGGCCTCCGCTTCTGCAGCCCGGGCTGGGATGCCTTCCAGGGCGCCTGCTACAAGCACTTTTCCACGCGGCGGAGCTGGGAGGAGGCGGAGACCCAGTGCCGGCTGCAAGGCGCGCACCTGACCAGCATCAGCACCCCCGAGGAGCAGGACTTCGTCAACAGTGGGCTGGGGGACGCGTCATCCGCCCTCTCACGCGCTCCATAACTAACGCATTAACTCCCTCAACCGTGCATTCATTCATTCACGCTCTTTTGACTTGGCTTCTGCATCCGTTCCTTCGCATTGTCGTTCTCTTCCCTCGCTTCCCACGCGACACCTGGGGTTCCCGGCAGGAACGCACACCTGCACCAGCCGGGCCGCCTCCCGCTGCTCCCAACCTCCCTGCCCCCCCCCCCCCATATGCCTTTCCCAGTTCGGACCTTCTTGCAAGGTTTTACTTTTTCCAGTTTTTCTTTTTTCTTGCCTGGGCAGGGGTGGTGGTGGCCGGTTTCCGTCTTCGCCACTCCCACGCCCCGGCCTCCCTCCGGCCCGCGTGCAAAGTCTAGGGAGAGGGGGGAGCCATCAGGGCGGCGCGCCAGTGGGAGCTGGGCGAGGGCTTCCCGGAGCGCCGGCGACAGGGAACGGCCGCCACCTGCCGGCAGCGGAGCTCACTGCACGCCGCCCTCTCCCCGCGGTCCTCAGATCAATACCGGGAGTATCAGTGGATCGGGCTCAACGACAGGACCATCGAAGGCGACTTCCTGTGGTCGGACGGCGTCCCCCTGGTGAGCAGCTCCCGCCGGCCCTTGCGCTGACGCCTTCTGGTCCGCTTTCTCGAAGCACTGCTGCCCTCCACAGCGAAGACCCCAGACTCCCTCCCTTTCCCCCTCTCCCAGAAGTCCCCAGTCCCCAGACCCTCAGCCTTCTCTCTCCCGGGGGCTCTCCCACGCCACGCCCTGCCCTCTCCAAGTGCCCTGAACTCCACCCACGCAGAGTTCCTCACCCCCCTCCCCTCGCTGCCCATCCCCAGCTTTATGAGAACTGGAACCCTGGGCAGCCCGACAGCTACTTCCTGTCTGGAGAGAACTGCGTGGTCATGGTGTGGCACGATCAGGGACAGTGGAGCGACGTGCCTTGCAACTACCACCTGCCCTACACCTGCAGGATGGGGCTGGGTGAGGGCAGAGGGTGTGACCTCACCCAGAAGGTGTGCCAGCCGTGGGGGGGGGGGGGCTCCCTGACTCTGCTGTCCCCTTGCAGCTCCTCCTCTATGCTGTGATTCTGGGAACCTCCTCCCCCTGCAGAGCCAGGCTCCCACTTGGTTCCTAAGTGTGTCCCTCCCGCAGTGTCCTGTGGGCCCCCACCGGAGCTGCCCCTGGCTCAAGTGTTTGGCCGCCCACGGCTGCGCTATGAGGTGGACACAGTGCTTCGATACCGGTGCCGAGAGGGGCTGGCCCAGCGCAACCTGCCTCTGATCCGCTGCCAGGAGGACGGTCGCTGGGAGCCCCCCCAGATCTCCTGTGTGCCCCGCAGACCTGTGAGTGGGGGTAGGGGGCTCCAGCTCTGCCTGTCACCGGCTGTGTGACCTGGGGGTCCTACTGCCCTTGGCTATGGGACAAAGAGAAGGGGGTGGGCTGGGGTCTCCTTTGGTGCTGATGTCTGAGATCACGTGGTCCTGCTCTAGGCTCTTTTTTTTTTTTAAGATTTATTTTATTTACTTGAAAGACAGAATTACAGAGAGGGAGAGCCAGAGAGAGAGAGAGAGATCTTCCATTCTGTTGGTTCACTCTGCAACAGGCAGAGCTGAGCGGATCTGAAGACAGGAGCTTCTTCTGGGTCTCCCACGCAGGTGCAGGGGCCCAAGGACTTGGGTCATCTTCCACTGCTTTCCCAGGCCACAGCAGAGAGCTGGATAGGAAGTGGAGCAGCCAGGACTTGAACTGGCGCCCCTATGTGATGCCGGTGCTGCAGGTGCTTTAACCTGCTGTGCCACAGCACCGGCCCCTGCTCTAGGCTCCTGAGCCAGAGCAAGTGTTCTCATGAGGTCAGGGGTCAGGGGAAGGGACAGCAGAGGCTGGGCTCTGAGGAGAGAAGGGGGAGCCGGGTGCGGAAGGTGAGTGTCTGTGTCTTCCCCAGGCCCGAGCTCTGCACCCACTGAAGGCCCCAGAAGCACAGCAAAGGAGGCTGCTGGGACGCTGGGAGGCGCTGTTGGCCTCTCCTCCCAGTCCCCCTCCAGGTCCCTAGGGGGCCGGGGTTCTCACCCCAGTCGGACCTCACACCCTGGGGTCTTCCCATCACGGGAAGTTACGGCATGAGAGGGGTGGAGCTACAATCCGGGGGGTGGTGCCTGCAAGGGGCTCCTGGGACATACCTGGGAGGCTCCAGCACAGCACAGGCTCTCTCTCTCTCCACCCCATAACCCGGGCATCAGGGTTTCCCCTCAGGGCAGTGGAGAAAGTCCCCAAGTGCCTCAGCTGCCCTCTCCCTGCCAGCCACGCAGTCCCTCCGTTCCTCTAGGGGGCACTGTCTCCCTCATCCTTGAGTTGCTAAGAGAATGGACGGGTCAGCAGGGTGGGAGCGCCAGTAAACCAGCAGGAAATAAAGCTGCATTTGAGCCTCAACAGCTTTGATGCTTCTGTGTGCCTGTGTGAGAGGGAGAGGTTGAGCAGGGCCTCGCAGCGTAAGACAGAGCGTCTGTGCTTGTTCGCTGCTGAAGGTCAAAGACGCTCTCAAGGTGTTGATGGATGGAACAGTGCCTGGCCCAGAATGGCTGCCAAGGGAGTCCTCAGGGGTTGGGGCACAGCAGAAGCGGCGTGGCATCAGGATGCTCGGCAAGGCAAGACGAGGAGTGCCCAGCGTGCCCAAAGTCAAGCAGTCCCAGGCGACCTCAGTCTGGGGAGAGAAGCCAAGGTCCCGGAGAAGAACGCAGGCGGAGCTTCGGAGAGGGGTTCTCCCAGGGAGTGTGAGAGAGGGGAAGGGAAGACCCTGCCGCTGGCCCTGCAGGTCTAGGGTTAGACTGCAGGGGAGGCAGAGATGCAGGAGATAGGGAAGGAGGCAAGGGCGAAGGGGGGGCATCCGGCTGAGCTGGGCCTCTGGGAACTGACTCGGGGGCCTTTCAGGTTGTAGCCAGAAGAGGGCGCTGAGAGTGCCGTGTGCGCCTGTGTGAGTGAAGTCAGCGCGAGGAGTGGCAGGAGCCCCAGGACACCACCAGGGGGCGCCGCGGTCTTTTCTTTCTGAGGAGCATGGGGTGGGGTCGGAGGGAGGTGACTGGCGGGGGGAGGGGTAGACTTCCGGTCAGGCTGAGCTGGCCCTGCGGGCAGTGAGTCAGCGGAGGTTGACATGGTGAGGTCATTTTGAGAAATGGCGAGAGAATGACCGAATGTGAGTGTGTGTGTGTGTGTGTGTGTGTGTGTAAGTAGCAAGCTTTTCTCTGGCCCTCATCACAGTGCACAGTGCCTTAGGGAAAGTGTGTATGGGGATGTGGTTCTAGCTTTTAAGATTTATTTATCTGAAAGGCAGCAGACAAGGAGAGACACACAAAGAGAGATCCTCCCTCTGCTGGTTCACTCCCCAAAATGGCTGCAAGGACTGGGGCTGGGCCAGACCGAAGCCAGGAGCCAGGAGCTTCATCCTGGTATCCCACGTGGGTGGCAGGGGCCCAAGCGCTTGGGCCATCTCCTGCTGCCTTCCCAGGTGCACCAGCAGAGAGGTGGGTCAGAAGTGCAGCAGCCAGGACTCCAGCCAGAGGACCTGCGGCGGATACGTCCCAGGCAGCTTACCCTGCTGGGCTGACTCCTCGCCCTAGCCACCACAGTCACACGTGTGAGCACACTCCTGCCTGTGCCCACTCAGCTATACCCAATTCACCCTCATGGTGAAAAAAATTCTTAGTCCTTTTTTTGGAAAGTTGGTGAAACTAAGGGTCAGGGAGACAGATCTGAGGAGCCAAGTGGCTGAGAGAGATATAGAAAGACCCAGAGAGAGAGAGCGAGAGAGGCAAGACACAAGACAGACAGAGGCAGGTTCCAGACAGGTGCACATTGCAGTGGGGAGGGGGGGCTGTGCTGGGGCTCTCGCAGGCTGTCCCTGCCTTCCCCACCCTGTATCTAAACCTGGCACCAGCTGGTCTGAGATGCCAGCGCTGAGCCCCTAGACTCACATTCCTTCCTCACCTCGGTCCTCCCCACACACAACCCAGCCCGGCATGGCTGGGGTGGGCGTGGAGGGGGGCGGCTGTTTCTGAAAGCACTACAGGGAAGAGCATGATTCTGGGGCCAGAGTGGGTACCTGGCCCCCATCCTGCAGTACTATGTGGAGGCTCACTCCACGCATTTTAAAGGATACCAGGGCATTTGGCTGGAATGTGAGTGGAGTGAGGTGCGCCTTAAAGGGCGGGGCCTGGAGGAGGCTGTGTCTGGCTCGGGCCTTGGAGCAGTGCCCCCTCCCAGAGCGTGGGGGGTGGGGTGGGCAGACCTCACGCGAGCTCCCGCTGCCATGAGCTGGAAGGGACTGTGCGTTCTCCGCTGCAGCTCTGCGCTTGCTCGCTCTGTCCTCCACGGACGGGACGCAGGGGGGCCGTGGCCTCTGCTCTGTGTATGGGGAGGCCTCCAGCGGGAGAGAGGGCTGCAACCAGAATCCTTCCTCCCCTCCTCCCCTCCCCACACCTGCTGGGCTGCTGGGGCGGAAACGGAAGCCTGCTCCTGGCTTTGTTGAGCTTCCTGGGGAAGGGGGAGCTGGTCCAGGGATGACTCAGCAGCACCCTGCACAGAACCCAAGCCGTGGCCCAGTGTGCAGGGTGTGCATGCGTGTGTGCGTGCGTCTGTGTGTGTGTGATGGGGCCTACCCTGGTCCTGAGGAGGGGAAGTCCCCCTCATGCAGGAGGATGGACTGGATCACAGATCTGACCACATCCAGGCTCCTGGAAATGTGCTAAGCCCGCAGCCTGCCTCCCACGCAGTCTCAGTGGGGTCCTCCCAAAGGGCGCCCCCTCCCAGGCACGCGGGAGGTCACCGTGCCCCCGGCTTGGGAGCCTGTTGAGATGGCCTTCCATGGTTTCCCCTCTGCGGGGAGGCCCCCAGCTTCCCCTGGGCTCTTCCGACTCACACCCACCGCCTCATTCCTCCCCCACCCCTCCCAGCGCCCACAGCCCTGCCCTGACCTCCCTGGGGCCTTTGTGCCAGCCCACACGGCAGAGAAAGGGCCCCATTGTCCTGGCCGCCTGCCTGACACAGCAGCTCCCAAACACTTCCAAAAATGCTCAGCCCATCAGACCCACGGGGTGGGAGGGCTTTCCCCAGGGGGCTGCAGCCAGACCCCTGCCTGCTGCTGGGACCCAGGCACCCTGTCTCCCATGCTCCCCAGACCCGAGTCCTCCTGAGCCTGTTCGTCCTGGGGAGGGAGAGCTGGCAGGTGCAGTACAGAGCTTGGGCAGGGGATGGAGACGGAGAGGAGAGAGAAGCAAATGGGGCGGGGGGGGGGGGGGGCGGGGAGGATGTGAGGACCAGCCTCCATCCCCTGGAGACTAGACTCAAATTAATGGTCCAGTGGGTGGATTTGCGGCCCCAGTGTTTACTCCTGGTCCTGGTTCTTCCCTGGTGTTTAGATAGCAGGTTAACAGAGGGACGGCTGCTGACCACTTTGGACTGAAGTCTGCAAGGGGGCAGCCCCCAGGCCCCCAGCCCATGTTCTGCAGACTCCCAGTGCTCGTGCCTCAGTTTCCCCATCAAAGTGAGCTAAGGTTCTGCCTGCCAGATGTGGTGAACAGGAAAGGAAGGAATCCTGGAGACAGCGAGCGATGCAGGGGCAGGGGGAGGTGCCGGGAAGGGGAGAGGAAAGTAGGTGCGAGCCAGAGGAGAGGCGAAGGGGGGGCCTGGAAGGAGAGCTGTGTCCCTGAGTGGCGAGTGGGGCTGGGAGGATGGGGGCCTGGGGGACCTGGAGGGGCCAGAGCCAACTGGACATCTCCCCGCCCCCGCGGTCTCTGGGGCCCGGGGGCTCCGCTTGTTCAGCAGCTGAGCGCGCAGCTGCTGGAAGAGGGGTTCCTCGACAGAGGCCTCCTGGCACCTGCCCAGGCTTATTTCTGGAGCCGCAGCTGAGTCCTGGGGGTGGGGAGAGTAAGAGGGGCTGGGGAGAGGGGAGATGAGGCCCGGACAGGGAAAAGCTGAAGGGGAGGCGGGGCACGGGGGGGGGGTTGCTCCAAGAGCTGTGGCTCCGGAACCTGGGGTCCACCCTAGCAGGACTAAGCATCAGGACAGGTGGGACATCTATGTCGGAGTCCCAAGGACAGCAGGGCTTGGGGAAGGGCTCAGGGAGCAGGAGGCAGGTCCACTTGGCCTGGGTGTGGGGCAGGGGGCGGGAGGACCCTAGGGGAGGTGGGGGGTCCTCCTGCCCCCTGGTTCCGTCGGCTGCTGACCCAGACCTGAGGCCATTCTGTCCTCCAAGCCAACCCTCCCAGGGCCTGGCCGCTGGACTGTGTCACCAGGTTTTCCCAAGGTGGCCTGTGACTCGGGAACAGGGCACCAAGGCCCTTCCTTTACCATCAGCACCGTGTCAGGGGACGCTTCCTCTTGCCACCCAGAGGATCCCCGAGTCTTGCTTCTGTCCCCCTGCTGCACAACTCGCTTTGATACTGGTCTTGCCCTGTGGGGTGGCAGTAGGTGTCCAAGAGGCGCCCAGGGGCCCATCCCTGAGCCCAGAGTCCTCTTGGGTTTCCTGGGCTTGGGTGGGCCTGGCTGCCCCGCCCCCTCCTTCCACGGAGGGCGCATTCCAGCTGAAATGAAATCACACTCCTCCTCCGCGGCTGCAGACAGGATGGCACGGCTGACAGCAGCTGTGACACCGCAGGGTCAAGTGGCAGCAGCTGGTCCCCCCTCCCCGGGGAGAGGCCGGGGGCTGCGGGGCACTGAGGGGCCAGGGCCCTTCTCTGTGGGCAGTGAGTAGACTCTGATTCTGTAACCTCGGAGGCCAGAGCCGGGGGCGGGGTGGGGGGGGCAGACCTGCCATGGGAGGGGTAAAGGCTAGACTGCAGGGTGTCAGGGCGTGATCCCAGCTAGCCAGCAGGCTACCCTAGGAGATTGAGATCCTCCCCTCCCCGACTTGTCACCTCCTGAGAGGACCCTGGAAGCCACCCCCCCCCCCATACCCGGGCTGGGCTCCCACACAGCCGTGAAGGCCAGGAGCCTTAGGAGGGGCCGCCCTCCGCTCGCCCTTGGCCGAAGCCCAAAGCCGGGGCCTTTGATTTCCTCCAAGGCCTTGGCAGCTGCGGCGGTGGTAGCAGCAGCAGCAGCAGCAGCAACAGGGCCAGCCTCAGGCTGGGCTGAATGGAGAGCTCAGCCCCTGACCTCAACCTCCCAGGCGCCTCAGCCAGCACAGCCTTATACGGGAAGGTCCCAAACAAAACGGGGAAGCCACCTCCGGCGCCCCCCCCCCGCCCCACCCTGTTCCGAGGCTATATTTACCCAGAGGAGGCCCCAGAATAACCCCCCTCTCCTCCTGCGCCTCTGTGTGTGTGTGTGTGTGTGTGTGCAGTGGCGGGAGGGGGAGGCCTCCCCTCCTGCTCCCTCCCCAACCCCTCCCCACCCCCAGGGACTCCACCTTCGGAAGTGGGTCCTGACCTTCCAGTCACTTCCTCTGTATTCAGTAGGAGTCTATTGCACACCCCCTGGGCTCCGGGGCACTGTGCTAGACTCCAGAGGATGAACAGGACAAAAGTCCTCGCTCTCCTGGGGCTTTCTGCCATGACAGGTTGCCGGAGACATCCCAGTCCCTGGTCCTGCTCTTGCCTTAGGCCTGTCCTCCCGCAGCTCCTCCGCTGGGAGCCCCGGAGGGGCCCTGTGCCGGGCTCTCCTCATCCCATGCGCTCTCCTCTGGGTCATCTCTAGGCCAGTGGTCCTCTCTCCCCCGAGCTCCAGGCCCCCTCGCCCACCCTGCCCCAGGCCTTCTGCCCCTGCACAGTCTCCATCTCCCAGCTGCCCAGGCTAACAGCCGGGAAACTTCTGCCGCCCTCTGTCTCCCAGGATGGCTCACCGAGTCCTGGGACTCTGCTTCCCTTACAGCTCGCCTCCCCATCCCCGCTGCCACCACCGTCGGGTACCACGGGGAGCGCTGCCTGTCTCAGTGCGCAAATGCGAACCTGGCCAAGTCACCTCTCCTTGGAAGCCCTCCCCACTTCCTTCCCTTGGGAAGCAGCTTCCTGTGTCCTGGCGAGGCCTCTGCCCAGACTCCCGACTCTCTCCTCGGTCCCCTGGGGAACTTTCTCCTTTCTCATCCCCCAGCTCCCGGTCACACAGGCCTTCTTGCCCTCCCTGAAGAGTCCAGACTCCCTCCTCTTGCCTTGGGACACGCACAGGCTGTTCCCTCCGGCTGGAATGCTTTTCCGCCTCCTCCCCCGCCAGCCCCTCCTGGTCATCCATCAGGTTCTTGAGCAGCCTTCCTGAGCGCCACTCCCATCCCCCACCCCACCCCAGCCCACAGCAGGTGAGGCGCCCTGCTCTCTGCTGCCGTGACGTCGTTCGGGCACATTTTCATTTTCAGATGTGATTTCCACCCAGCAGTCCTTGTTCAGTTAGGAGGCAAAGATTCCTACGCAAGGAGCCGTGCTCTTTGTCTCTGGATGCCTAGGGCCTGCAACAGCCAGCACATAGTAGGTTTCTCAGGAAATGGCTGTTGACAAATGTCACCCCTCGTATCACCACTGGAAATGTCCTTGCTACCATCCAGACTTCATTTCTCTTGCTGTATGGGCAGCCCAGCACTTTCTCCTACTTCAGGGAAGTCCTTACCCCTGTCTGACTTACACCCCTCCTCCTATTGGGGGTGACTGGCAGCAATGGCCAGTTAGAGCAGCTTTGAAAGGGACCAGGGCCCCAGGGAAGGGCTGCTTGGCTCAGCTTCTGTCTTCAGCCCATGCTCAAGAAGTGTGCCCAAGGGCCTGGGGACATCAAGCAGGGGGAGCCTCTGTTCCATTCGAGGGGCGGGGAGTGGCCCTCACTTGCCCAGGGGCCAGTGTGCTGGCCCCAGGCCTGGCAGCCTGGCAGGATCAAACAGGGTCTTGGGTACAGGAAGGAGAGCGGGCCTTTGTTGCCAGGAGGGTGGGGTGGAAGGGACAGGATCCTAGGCCCTAGGGCAGAGGGGTGTGTGCCCGAAACAGAGACCCGGATGGAGGAGCAGAGAGGCAGACAGTGTGTCTGCTGGGAGGCCCCGCCACTGCTCCCTGGCCAGCGGACAGCCGTGGGGGCCGGAGGAGCTGGGACTTCATCCTGTTACCCCTCCCCAGCCCCCAGCCTTGGGCACAGGGGGAGGAAGAGGCTGCTCCCGGACCTGGGATGGTCTCCAAATGTGGGACATTTGTTTGGCAGTCCCCAGCCCACTCCCAGCTGGGATATTTAGAGATGTCGCCAGATCTTCCTTCCCTGTGGAGCTCAGCTCAGGAGTGGTTTCTATTTAGGTATCCTGACTTCAAGGCCTGCAGGCACCACCTATTCCAGGAATCCCTGGTCCCCTCCCTACCTTACAGAGGGACCCAGAGAACTCCTGGGAAGTGAGGGTGGGTTGGGGGACCAAGGGCCCGGTTCACTGGCAGCAAACCGCTGGTTCTTGCCCGACAGCTTCTGTCCAGCACCTCCCCCCCTTCCCTGCCTCCTGTTTCAGCTCCTGACAGTGTCCTGCTGGAGGTCTAAGCTGCAGCCCTCAGCTCCCCTAACCCCCTCCCGCTCTCCCCGACCTGGGAGGTCGCCCCAAGCTTTCTGGCCCAGCTTCCCTCATTGTGTGGTTCAGAGAGGTTCCACACTGACCCGTGGCCACACAGCCAGACTAAGGCAAAACAGGCCTCTCTCCCCTCACCCAGCTCTGACCCAGCCAGGCAGACATCACAGGCAGACAACTGTTTGGGTTTGGGAACAAGGGGGCTTATTATGCTGGCGGCACCGAGGGGCCAGGGGGCGGACATGTAAGGGCGGGGGGTGGCCCCAAGGGCTTATCCCTGTAATCAGTGCTGGGGGCCGAGATGATGACTGGCCTGGCTTCTCAGGCACCCAGGTCACCTGCACTGGTGTCCCGCAGGCAGGCGTAGAGCAGCCCCCAGCTCTCTGGGTGCCCGAGCCTCCATGCCCCGCAGTGGCCTCACAAGAAGGGGGGCTCTTCCCCCTGCCCAAGGCTGGCTATCCCACCTCCTCCCCACACTCCCCCCACTCTCTCGGCTTCTGCACTTGCATGATGACCCCCCTGGACAGGGAAAGGACGAAGCCAGGCTCTGTGGGCAGAGGCATCCTTTATTCAAGCTAGGACGAGCTGCAGGGCAGGGGTAGGGGATGAAGACAAAGGAGCAGCCTTCACCTCCGTGAGGCACAAGCCAGACAGCCAGTGAGGGCGGTGCCGCTGCAGAGAGGAGGGGGGTGCAGGAGGAACCCAGGCCTCTTCCAGTCGGTGGGGTGCAGAGGAGAGGGGTCTGTTGCTATGGGGATTCTGCTGCCGGAAGCCTACGGGACAGAGCAGGCAGGATGGCCCCTGGCAGGGTCCGAGGCTCTTATCCCCAAGGCCTTGGAACAGGATCCTTGGCCAACCCCGTCTCACCTTCGCCAGCCAGGCCTCTCGGACAGAAACCAGGGGTCAGGAGATCATAAGTTAAGGGTGCCGCCCTGAGCCGCAAGGGCTTGGGTTCTGCCGTGGGGACCAGGGCTGCTTTTCTAGTCTTCCCCCGAGGACCAGGAGTCTCCTTCGCCTTCCCTCTGCATGAACTTCAGGAACGGGCTTGGACCCAGTTGAAAGGGAACCCCTGCCCATGGGGTCTTCAAGGCAGCCCCCTCCTCCTCTGCTAAGGGGCTTCCTCGGTCCCCATCAGGGGCCCCCAGTTTCCCCTGCCCCACCTCTTCAGGCTGCTGCAGCCCGTTCACCACACCCCCGTTCACATGCTCTGACTCCTCCAAGTCGGGGCCTCGGCCATTGATCCCAAGGGTGTCCGCTGTGCCCGGGCTCGTGCCCTCCGCCCTCCTGGGGGTCTCCACGGGGCCAGGGCCTTGGTCCTCCCTCTCCAAGGGAACAGAGTCAAACTCTTCCTCTGAGCCGGAAGGCTTGGCACTGTCCTGAGACTCGGTCTCCAGGGCAGTCACGGGGGCATCGGCCACCGCAGCCCGCGAGCCATCATCCCAGGGGACACTGACACCCACGGTCTCAGACTCCAGGAAGTCCCCTCTCTGGAGGCTGCCAGCAGAGGACCCTGGCCCCCACTGCCCAGCCCCTGGCTCCCTCTCCTCCTCTTCCTCTTCCCCCTCCTCCCCGCTCTCTTCCTCATCTGCAAACCCATCAGACTCCCCGTCCCGGTCCCAGGCTGCAGGCTCCAGCAGCTGGGGCACCTGGCCCAGAGGTTCTGCTGCCTGCCTGGGGGCCCCCGGAAGAAGGGAAGCCTCAGTCCCCAGGTCCTCAAATTCCTCGGACAGCTCGGAGTCCCTGTCACACTCCTCGTCCCCCTCTCCCTCCTCCTCTGCCGGGGGCGGGGCCCCGAGGCTCTGGGAGGCTAGGCCAGCAGGATCCCAGCCTTCCTCTGGGGCATACCCTTGAGGGGAAGGCCTCTGCTCTCCAGCCCGGTCCCACCTTGGGGAGGCAGGGGATCCAAGGTAGAGGCCCAGGGGGGTGGAGTCGGGAAGGGTTTCCCCGAGCTCATCAGCCTCACTTTCTTCCCTGCTCTCTTCCCCTTCCTCCTGGAGGCCCTCAGGGATCTCCCCAGACCCCAGCTCCTCCTGCTCACCTTCCACCTGGCCTGTGGCCTCAACCCTGCCCTCCAGCCCGAAGCTGACCTCCTGGCTCCCCTCAGCCTGGGGCTGGGGCTCAGGGGCACCTCCCAGGGTGGGGGTGGGCGACCTGGGCTCAGGGGGTCTTGGGCTTGGGGCGCCCAGCACCAGCTGTGAGTCGTCCTCATCTGCTTCCGACCCCAGGGGCCTGCATTCAGGGGCCTCTCCTCCGGTGTGGCCTGGGGTCTCAGCAGGGGACCCCTCCCCTGCTCCCCAGGGCGTCTCGGGCTCTGAGGCCTCCCTGCCTGCGGGTGGCTGCGGGGGCTCTGCCTTTGGAGGCTCTACCTCTGAAACATCAGCCTCCTCTGGGTCCTCCCGGGGGCCTTCCAAGCCCTGAACCCTCCTGACCTCCAAACCCCCCTCCCCACACAGTGGCTGCATCACCTCTCTGGCCAGATGGCCTGGGTCCTCCACGGCTCCCACAGCAGCCTCACCCACAGCTGTCTCTGATGCCAAGGTGACTCCTGGGGAGACTGGGTCACCCTCGGGAGCTGCAGCCTCCCCTTCCGACAGGGGCTCTGTCGCCTCTGGGACCCCCTGGGGAGCTCGAAGGTCTGGGGCTCCGGGCTGCTCTGGTTGCCTCTCAGGCTCCTGCAGGCCCTCAGCGCCTTCCTTCTCACTGGCTCCCACAGCCGGGACTCCCTGCTCTCTGGGCTCAGGGCTCCCGGGAGGCCCCCAGGCTGTCCCCCTGGCACCCAGCTGCAGCTCTCCCTGCACTGCCTCCTCCTCCTTCCCAGCACAGCCATCTGGCTGCCTGGGATCCAGCTCGGCCTCCTCCTCACTTGCCCTTGCGGCCTTCCCCGGGTGTTCCTGACCCAGGCCCTGGCTCCCCTCCTCCTCCTCCTCCTCCACCTCCTCCTCCTCTTCCCCTGTGTGCTGATCTGCAGGCCGCGGCAGCTCCTGCCTCTGCTCTCCCAGGCACCACGGCGACTGCTCCTCGTCCTCTTCCTCTGCTGCATCCCTGTGGCCGCCCTCGTCTTCCTCTTCCTCCAGGGCTTGCAGTGGCTCCTGGTTCTCTTCCAGAGAGCCTGAGCGTTCCTGGATCTCCTCCCCGAGAGGCGGCGTCATCCCTCGGTCCACTTCCTCTAGACACCACTGTGGCTCTTGCATTTCTAGGGATTTCAGTATTTCCAGGTCTCCCTCTGCAGACGTCAGCGGCCCCAGGTCCTCTGCTCCTGCAGCTCTCACTGCCCCCGCATTGTCTTCTTCCGACGACTTGGCTAACTCCCTGCCCCTGCCGGGAGGGCTAACTCCCTCCTGATCTTTGCCAGGAGACCCCAGTGGCTCCAGGTCCACCTCTGCCGCAGGTGGCGCCGTCTCTTGCTCCTCCTCCTCTGCCGGCGTCGGGGGCTCCTGGTTCTCCTTTTGTGGGGGCCGCAACGCCTCTAGGTCTTCCTCTTCAGAAGACCCCAGGGACCCCCGGCTCTCCTCTCCCAGGGGCCTCTGTGGCTCGGGGTCTCCTCCTTCTTGAGATCCATGCAGCTCCGGATTCTCCTCTTCTGGAGCTCCCAATGACTCCGCAGCCTCCTCTTCTGGAGACGTCACCGTTTCTCCATCTTCCTTTCCTGGAAATGTCTCAGGACCCCCTGCGAGGGGCACCCCCCATTCTTGCCTCTCCTCTTCTAGGGACTGCGGTGCCCGTGGGTCCTCTCTCCCCCCAGGCTCCCGCAGCTCAGGGGCCTCCCCTCCCAGAGGCCTCGCCACCTCCACGTCCTTTTCTTCCACGGGCTGCAACGGCTCCTCATTTTCTGTCTCTACACTTGCTAACGTGCCTGAGCTCTCTTCTCCCAAAGACCCCAGCAATTCTTGATTCTCCTCTGGGGCCTCCTGGTGCTGGTCTCCTGGGGACATCAGTGGCTGCGGGATCTCCTCTCCCAGAGCCTCCTGGGTTTCTTCTCCCAAAGGACCCTGAGAGTCCTCGGTTTCCTCCACGTCCAGGTCACCGGCTGGCTGTGCCGCCTGCTGCACTTGGCTGACCACTCGGACCTCCACGGCTGCTGCCTCCTCCACCAGCCCATCAATCTGCCCTTCACCTTCCTCCTGGGCTAGGCTGGACGCTCTAGACCCACTGGGCTCTCTGTCTTTAGCCTCTGGACTGGGATGGTCAGGGCTGAGGGGTGGGGCCAAGGGGCCAGGATCCTCAGGGGCTTGGCCGGAAGTGGCCTCTCGCTGTTCACCCCCAGGCTCCTCGGGTCCTGGCAGGATGCTGGCAGGGACGGCCACCTTGGCTTCAGCCCACAGGGGCTCCGCAGCCTGCTGCCTCCCCCCCTGTGGTGGGAGCAAGGAGACAGGGGCATCCTGGGCCCTGAGCTCCACATCAGAAGCAGCAATGGGAGGCTGGGGGGTGGGGGGGATGGGAGTGCTGGCCAAGGTGGGGGCACGGGGCTGGAGGAATTCCTGGCTCTTCAGAAAGGCTGGCACAGGTGTCTCCAGGGTGTCGGGCAAAGGGGAGGGGAGGGGCGTTGGGCTCAGGACAGGGAGCGAAGGTCCCAGACGTCGGCCCTCTGGAGTCCCCGGGAAACGCAGGTCCAGCTTTGGGTCTGGAAAGGCAGAGAGGAAAGAAACAGCGTCAGTCTGTCCTGGCACAGAGGGGGCCCCCACTGGCCTGGTGGGGTGCGGGGTGCGGGGAGCTGGGAGAGGGTATGCTCACTCGCTAGTGCCCGGGGCAAGGGCTTAAGGCCTAAATCGGTGCCTCTCAGGAAAGGGAGGTCTGGGGTGAGAACAAAGAGGGGCAGAGTTGCAAGGGAGCCAGCCGCCCTTCTTACCCTGGAAGCCGAGGGAAGCCTTGGCACGGCAGCCAGGTGTCTGAAGCCGGGAATTCTCAGCCTCCAGGAGCGTCCTGGGATGAGGGAGGAGAAGCCAGCTCAGCCTTCTGCCCCGAGCCCGTGGGCACAGAGCCAGCGGGCCAGAGCTCGCCGGCTGGGCCTGTCCAGCTCCCGCTGGGTTTTGGCCACTATCTCACAAAAGCCGCACTCAGGGTCACACATCCGCGGGCGCCACACACTTGGGCACGCAGAGTCACACAAACATTTGGGACACACAGGGGACCTCACACAGCAGATTTCCACTCAGCTGGACACAGTGCCACAACCGCAGGCACAGATCGCTGGGACTGGGCTCCCCACCCCCTCCCATGCACCCGCACCCGCAAGATGATGACCTCATCCTTGGGGCCATGGTGGGGGGAGCGGGGGTCCATTCTCATGCTAATGACTGCCTTTGTGCACACTACCATCTGGAGGGTCTGCGAAGGGGGGCTTCCCAGAGAAAGTGGGAATTCTCAGCCGTTCCCATGGGATGGGCTTCCTCCCCCTCCCCCTCTCGAGGGGGGCCCCCAGAGCTGGTAACAGACAAAAGGAAATGAATTCAGCTCCCGCTCTCCAAATCCTTTTCATGCTTCAGAAGCCAGCAGTGAAATTCCGAAGGGGCTCCCCTCCGCGGGGGTCAGGGGGTCTCTAAGCACCCGGGATCCCAAGCCCCTCCAGGGAGGTGAGGTCTTTGTGCCCCTGCCCTGGGGGAGGGGACGGAAGAATCCTAGGCGATGCTGACCGTGGGCTCCACCCTTCCCGCCTTCTGGGTCTGGCTGGTCCTTGAGGCCATTGCCTCACCTTAGCCCTCCCCGGTAGCAGCAGTGCCGCGGGGCCACGCCTCCCTCCTCTTCCTCAGGTCCTCACTGGCCTCCTGTTTCTGGACCCTGCCGCCCCTCCCCTCCCGGACATGCCCCAGCACCCCTGCCTTTATTTTGCCATGGACTCTGGGAGCAGAGGCCTTGGCAGGGGGGTGCCCCTAACAGCCGGGCCCCCACCCTTCACAAGGCGCAAAACCCCTTCCGGGGGCTCAGACGGGCGCTCAGCCAGAAGGTCCTGGGTTTCAGTTTTCCCTGGGGCAACAGGAAATGCAGTCAGCAAAGGGCTGGGCAGGGCCAGTGGCACTGGGCTGGAGAGGAGTCCGGCTCCATGAAGTTCAGGCTAGGAAAGGTCTTGGAAGTCACCTAGCGCAGCTCCTAGCTCCCAGGCAAGGCCGCAGCCCGGAGAGGGGGCAAGTCTCCTAACTGAGGCTGCCCAAGAACAGGCTCCCTAGGTGTGCGCACACACGCAGAGACTGGCATCGCCGGCCCCTAGGCGAGGGCCCATGCAGATGCCCCCTGGGTGCCCAGCCCCGTCTCCAGAGGCCATCTCACTCTGCTTGCAGCACTTTGCTGGCCACTGGCCACTTCTCTGGTCCTGGACCCAGCGAGCAGCAGGTGGGCTCAGGTGGGACATGTGCTGGTACACGAGTGACCGGCCTCGAATCACAGAACCCAGGGAGGGCAGAGCTGCCCCCACTCATGCCTCTGGGTCCCCTCAGCAAAGGGGCCCCTGCCCTGGTAAGCGCGTGGGCATCCGGGGGCCTGGGTGGGTCCGGGGCCACCCGTACCTGTAGGTGGCCACCTCCAGGCTGAGAGACATCTTGAGGTGTGCCAGCTGCTGCCGACCTTCCAGGACCTGGGCGATCTGGCTCTGCAGGCCCTGCTTCTCCTGCTCCAGGGCCTCCACGGCCAGCTGCGGAGCAAGCCAGAGGAGTCAGTGAATGGTGGGGGCCTCGGGCCACTCACCTACAGCCCCCGCCCCGCAGTGGCCCCCGCCCGCAGCAGCCCCAGCGTCTCCAGCTCTCTGGTTTGCTGAAGCTACAGCAGACCCCCGTCCCCCTCCCCCACCCCACTCCCACCCCCACCCCCACCCAGGGAACCCCAGCTGTGCTGGTGGAGAAGAGCCGAGCCCCTCTCCCGGCCCCCTCTCCCCCAGCCCGGCTCCTCCTCTGAGGAGGCTGATTAAATGGTAGCACATGCTGGGAACTCAGCTCCCACAGGAAGGGGGAGGTGAGGGAGGAGAGGAGATGGGTTACAGAGAAGAGGAGAAAAAAGTGGAGGCAGAAGGAAAAACGATTAATCAGGAGGCCTGGAGCCTGCAGGACTGCAAGCCGCATGGCCGGGCCGTCAGCAGGCCCCCACCCCTCCACTTCCCACAAGTTCTGGAATCTTTCTCCTCTGAGAGGAGGTGGGGGGGGGTGGCCATGGCGAGACCTCTGTCTGGCCCACGCAACAGGCTGTTTGCTCAGCTGCTGGTCACATCTGTGCCGGGTGAGGGGGAGCAGCTGTCCCAGGCCTCCGGAATGTGCTCCCAGGAGCCAAGGAGCCCAGACAGGGGAGAGGGGCTGCTGGGCCCTGATCCAGGCCCCTCGGCCCTCCTGCAGGGAGAGGAGGGTACAAAGGACCCTGGAGAGCCAAATCAGGGGTGACGCACGGAGGGGGTGTGCCCGGCGTCTGCTGAGCGACCACACAACCTAGGCAGGGGCCCTGGGGAGGGAAGGGGCTGCTGCCAGGGGTCCTGGCCTGCCTGCCTATCCAGGCAAGCATATGCAGAGGCCTCTGACAGCCCACTGAGCCGGGCTGTCCCCAGGTGCGAGTTTTCTGAGAAGCGGCTCGCCTCCCGACTTGGCAGTCACTCATGCCCTACTCCTTTCCCGAAGGAGTCTGAGCCTCCTGGGGGCTTCCTGGAGCCTGGTCTCATGCAGGTCTGCCACCTTCTCACCTGGAAGTTCTCAGTGGCACGCAGCCGCTCCTGCCAGCGGCCCTCCAACCTCTGCTCCAACGCCGCCCTGCGCTCCTGGAGGCCGCCGCGCTCCGCCTGCAGCTGCTGCAGCTCCAGGCGGCTCTCGCGGGCGCCCTGCACCGCGCGGCCCAGCCGCTCGCGCGCCTGGCCCAGCGATGTCTCCATGTGCGCCACGCGCTCCTGGTAGCCGCGCACGGCCCCGCGCCACGCCTCGCCCAGCCGCTGGGCCAGCTCCTCCACCTCGGGCGCGGGCGCGGGGGGCGCGCGGGGCGGCGCGGGGCCCCGGGGGGCGCAGGCAGCCTGCGCGTTCAAACTGGCGCGCTCCTCCTCGTGCGCGGCGCGCAGAGCCTCCAGCTCGCGCTCCAGCTCGGCCGCCTGGTTGGTCAGCCAGCCCCGGGCGCACTTCTCCGCCTCGACGGCGCGCCGGCTGCGGGCTGCCTCCTCGGCCGTGCGCTCCCGGGCCAGCCGCAGCTGCTGGCATCGGCCGGCCACACCCTCCAGCTCTTCGGCCAGGTTGTCGCGCGCCACCTCGGCCGCGTGCTTCTCCCGCCAGCGCTGGTCCACGAGGGCCCGCAGGGCTGCCAGTTCGTCGTCGGCGCGGGCCCGCCAGGAGGAGTCCCCAGCCTGCGCCCGGAGACCCCCGAGCTCCGCGCTGAGCAGCTCATTCTGCTCTTCGAGCGCCTTGACCCGAGCCAGATAGGCCTCCAGGCGCCGGTTGAGCTCCCACATCTGAAAAGACTCCTCTCCCATGCAGCCCTCCATCCTGCTCGTCTGACCCACCGAGGGTGGACGGACGCGGGGCACCGGGAGAAGGGAGCGGCCCTCGGAGCCTTTAGGACGGAAGAGAAAAAAGGCGACCGGAGGGGACAATGACGGGGCGGGGCGGGGAGAAGCCCGAGCGACTGAGAGTCGGGAGTGGGAGCGAGGCTATTCATACTCCCGCCAGCCAGGCGGGAAAGGGGCGGGTCCAGGCTTTAACCCCTTAGAGTTCAGCCTCGGCACGGGGCTGTCTCCCTGCGGGCTCGGGGCGCCGGAGGGTGGACCACGGGAGACACCCTGCCGCAAGGAACCCTATGCGACGGTGACGGCTCTCAGACGGGTGCGGCGCGGTGAGGAAGGATCACAACGCCCAGAAAAGCAGATGAGGCACAGAACTGAGCCCGCAGGGGCCGCCGAGGCCGGGGTGCGAGCATCCCGTTACTCAGCACTCCCAAAAGAGCAGTAGTTCCCGAATTCCTCTAAGATTTACTTTCTTCATCCATAGAAGGCGAAGCTCCATGGGCCTCTGAAAGGGCGTGGCCACACTTTTCATAAATAGCAAAAGCTGACCCTGGAGAGAGATGGGGTTTCTTGGAGGACAAAAGGATCAGATATCTGATACTGGGGGACACACACGCGCACGCACACACACGCACACACTATTGCCTAGCTCCTGTCAGGAACGGGAGAGACCAGACAAAGGGAATGCTTTCTCTGTTTCACCCTCTCCTTCCTACATCTGGTTCCTATACCCCAGTTCTCAGGGACGGGCCCCCATCTTCTCCCGGCTCCAGGGATTTTTAGGCAGAGAGCACCGCCTGGTGGCGTAAAGATGCGATCCAGAAGTCCCAGAGGCAGCTCTTCCCTCCCTCCCAGGAAGTCCAAGTTTGCTGAGCGTGGGTGGTGGGTCAGCCTGTGTTCTAATATTTCCCTTCCATGGGCTGACGTAACTCTCCAAACGGCCTCCATGGATCCCGCAGTCCAGGCGGCAGGGCGCTCACGGGGGCACAGTGGGACCTGGGGTAAGTGGAATAAAGGCTAAGCAGGCGGGGGGGGAGGGGTCTCTGGGACAGGGATGCCGAATATCCGAGATCCCTAGGGTCCTTGGGGGTGTCCCCTGAGTGGTGGGGTGGGCACGGGGTGGAAAGTTTCTCTTCTGGGCCCTTAGACACCCCAAGAGGTCATGGGTCCCAGGCAAGGAGCAGGCACCCATAGCCTGGTGGGGCCAACGTCAATGTTTACCAGACTGGAAACAGAAAATAAATTTATGAAGCACTTGGAGTAAAATGAGGCCCCCATAGGGGCTGCCAGGTGACATCCTGTCTTTCTCTGTGGTCCCACAGAGTCACCGGCATCTCTGTGTGGCCTGGGGCTGTCCCTCTGGTTATGGCTGTGGGCCCCTGGACAGGTGGGCCATGCAACACTGCAGTGCTGGATACAGAGTCCACTCGCCAGCCATCCCCAGAGCACGCTGAAGCAGGCTCTACCCGTCACCCCGGGGAGTTCTGTTCTCGGTCTTTTTTTTTATTATTATTAAGTTTATTTTATTTATTTGAAAGAGTTACAGAGAGGGGTAGAGCCAGAGAGAGAGAGAGAGAGAGAGAGAGCGGTCTTCCATTCCACTGGTTCACTCCCCAAATGACCGCAACGGCCAGAACTGAGCTGAGCTGAAGCCAGGAGCCAGGAGCTTCTTCCAGGTCTCCCACATGGGTGCAGGGGCCCAAGGACTTGGGCCATCTTCTATTGCTTTCCCAGGCCACAGCAGAGAGCTGGATAGGAAGTGGAGCAGCTGGGATTCGAACCGGCGCCCATGTGGGATACCGGTGCCTCAGGCAGAAGCTTAGCCCACTACACCACAGCACCGGCCCCCCAAAATAGGATTTTTTAAAAAAAAAACCCTAACATTTATGTAGTAAAGCAGGTCATAGTATCACCACGATCATTCCTGGTTTTCTGTCTGGGGAAGCCACTCAGTAACACGTCCACGATTGCACATCTGGAACCTAACTCAGTCCTACTCAGGCTCCATGGTTCCTGGGAAAGGAGATGCTGGGGGCTGGGGCGCTCAGAGGGGAACCAGCAGAGACGTCTGTAGTCATTCATGCAAGGCCAGCTTAGCCCTCTAGGAGCCAGGAGGCGAGCAACTCTGGACCCAGATCCCTCTCCCTGCTGAAAACCCCTCTTCCTCCGCTACCATCACGCACACGCCCAGCTCTGGGGAGAGGTGAGCAGAAGAGAACTGAACACCAGCTGGGGCTGGGCCGCCGGGGAGGCGCTGAAGGCCAGGCCTGTGTTTGGCTGCCCCCGGAGGCCCTGCCGCTCTCGGCTCCCACGAGGTGTTTGCTGCCCGAGTGGCCGGCCTCAAGCTGGTCTGATCACATCCCCAGAGCTGAGTCTAGGTCTGAGCACCCCACTGGAGGAGACACAGACACACACGCACGCACACACACGCATGGACACACGCACATGCGTGCTCCTGTTAGGGGCACAGGCTCTGGAGATCTGGGTCTGGGTCTTGGTGAGGCATTTAACCAGCCTGAGTCTCCGCTTCTTTAGGAAATGGGACGTAACATCTACCTCATGAGAGCACAAAATGTTCACCCTGTGAGTGTGTATGTGCGTGTGTGCGTCTGCGTGCGTGTGTGTGTGTGGATCATGACCACCCGTGCTGCTGCCAACATTCTCGCTTGTGTCTCCGGTGCACAGGTGCCTGCCGTACTCTTGGGCACGCTAGGAGAGGAGCTCTGGTTATAAGGAACAATGCACATCTTTGACTTCGTTGGGTGATGCCACCCTGGTTTAAACAGTGGTCACACGGTCGGTGCTGTGGCACAGCGGGTTAAGCTGCCACCTGCAACACTGGCATACCATATGGGCACTGGCTTGAGTTCCAGCCGTTCCACTTCTGATCCAGATCTCAGCTAACGCACCTGGCAAAGCAGCAGAAGATGGCCCACGTGCCTAGGTCCCTGCCGCCCACATGGAAGATTTGGATGGCATTCTGGGTTCCTGGCTTTGGCCTGGCCCAGCCCCAAACATTGTAGCTGTTTAGGGAGTGAACAAGCAGGTGGAAAATCTTTCTCTCTGTAACTTTGAATTTCAAACAAATAAATAAATCTTTAAAAATAAACAAGCAGGGGCCAGCACCGTGGCAGAGCAGGTAAAGCCAGTGCCTGCAGTGCTGGCATGTGGGCACCAGCTTGCAGGCTGGCTGCTCCACTTCCAATCTAATTCCCTGCTAATGCACCTGGCAAAGCAGTGGAGGATGGTCCAAGTGCGTGGGCCCCTGCACCCACGAGGGAGACCCAGAGAAGCTTCTGGATCCTGGCTTCAGATCAGCCCAACTCCAGCAGTTGCAGATTTTTGGGGAGTGAACCAGCAGATGGAAGATCTATTTCCACCCTTCCTTTTCTGTCTCTCTGTAACTCTGTCTTTCAAATAAATAAATCTTTAAAAAACAGGAGCGTTCAGAGCAGCACTGCAGAGGCTTTGTGGGGCGCCCGCTCCCACATCAGAGTGCCGGGGGTCAAGCTTCGGCTCTGCTCCCAACTTCGGCTTCCTGCACCATCGGAGGCAGCAGACAATGGCTCAGGCACTTGGGCCCTTGCCACACATGTGTGAGACCTGGATTCAGTTCCCAGCTCGTGGCTTCAGCATGGCCCAGTCCCAGCCATTGTAGGTATTTAAGGAATTAACCAAATGGAAGAATTTTGTCTCTGTCACTTTGCCTTTCAAATAAACTAAATAGGTAGATAAATAGATAGGTAAGTTTAAAAACAAGGGATCATGGGATCAGTGCTGTGGCGTAGCAGGTAAACTCACTGCCTGTGGTGCCAGTGTCCCATATGGGCACTGGTTTGAGTCCCGGCTACTCCATTTCTGATCCAGCTCCCAGCTAATGCACCTGGGAAAGCAGCAGAAGATGGCCCAAGTGCTTGGGCCCCTGCAACCACATGGGAGACCTGGAAGAAGCTCCTGGCTCCTGGCTTCGAATTGGCCCAGCTCCAGCCATTGTGGCTATTTGGGGAATGAACCAGCGGATGGAAGACCTCTCTCTCTCTCCCCCTGTCTCTGTTACTCTGCCTTTCAAATTAGAAGGAAAGAAGAAAGGAGAAAAAGAAAGGAAGGTAGGAAGAAGGGAGGGTAGGGAAGGAGGGAGGATGGAAGGAAAAAAGGAGATAAGAGACAGCATTTCGGGGTCAGGAGGAGGAAGACGCTGGGAGCCGAGCCTGCGGCCCAGGCTGTGGGCGGGGTGGGGGTGGTGGAGGCGCATCGCTGAGCGAGAACGTCATAAACTCGCAGGGCAGGGTCATCTTAAGTGTCTGAAGGGCTCTCCGGTAAAAGGGCCCAGCGCCTTCTCCTGAGGGTCCAGGAGCAGACCCAGGCCCAGTGAGTGGAGGCTGCAGGGGCCAGGGTGTCAGCCCGCCAGGGAGCCAGCGCCTGCTCCAGCTTCTGTAGTGCAGAGGGCTGCCACCAGGGGGAGCGGGTGCCCTGCCCCTGGAGGGCGTCAAACACAGGACCCATGGCCACTCTCTGGGGACTCGGTTTGGGATTTCTTCCCGAGGACCTCGGCGGTCTCTTCAACCCCCAGGACTCTAACAATCTGGACATAAGCGGTCCACCTGGAGCCTAAGGTCCGCCTCTTGTCCTTTCTGGAGAGCTCTGGCTCCTGCCTGAGCTATTCCTAGAGAATTCTTTGGCCTAGAAGTTCATTCTGAGGACACCCCTGCCTTGAGGGCTCTTGGAGGGTAATGAGGAGGAAGAGGCAGGGGCTCTCCACCATCAGCTGCTCCTCTGGCCAAGTAGGAGAGGGACCCAGGATCCAGTCTGGGGCCAGCAGGCCTGCCAGCCTGCAGGAGTGCTTCAGTCTGCCTGAGGTCCTGCCCAGCTCTGGGCCCACCACCAGACCCCTTCGCTGGGTGCGATGTCTTAAGAAGCCACCAGGTGGAGCCAGGACCCCAAGGCGCTCCGAACTACCCCATTTCTAGGACTTGAGTCTAGCAGGGCTCTGCCAGCAGTCGGGCGGGGGGTGGGGGGTGGGGGGGGCAGACTGGGAGTGTGTGTGAGGGGAAGACTCAGGACACTGGGTGAACGGCAGGGGACAGACTGGATCTAGAAGGGACATGGGTCCCTCCAGGGAGCTGGGTGGGGGCGAGGA